AGCTTTACTTTGTGCTTGCAGTTCGCAAAGGCTGAGAACGTTGGCACTGTGAAAACCACAATTCTGAAACAGGAAATACAAGACTTTACTTTAAAAAAAAATTATCCTCTCTCTCTATTCCAAAAGAGATAGAAACAGAGAAGTAAGGACCTGCCTTTTCCCATATATGAGACATGATCCGGTAGTTTTCCATCATCTTATCACCCACTCTAACTTTTAATTCCCCGAGGCAAAAGATCAATATTTATTTATTTTATTTTATTTTTTATGTAGTTAGTTTGTCAAACATGTACAAGATAACAGGTATAAGAATAAACATGGACATGAATAAAGGAAATGAGTTCAAATAAATGGGGATAGCAGGACAGGGACAGTAGGCACGCTGGTGCGCATATGCACGCCCCCTTTACGGACCTCTTAAGAATGGGGCGAGGCCCATGGTGGACACTTTAAGGTTGAAGCTATGAGGGTTTGAGGCAGTAACAACGGAGTCAGGTAGAGCATTCCAGGCGTTGACCACTCTGTTGCTGAAGTCGCATTTGCTGCAATCGAGTTTGGAGCAGTTTACCTTGAGTTTGTATCGATTGTTTGCCTGAGTATTATTGAGGTAGACGCTGAAGTAGTCGTTGACAGGTAGGACATTGTAGCAGATAATTTTGTGTACTACGCTTAGGTCAGACCCTAGGCGCCATAGTTCCAAGTTGTCCAAGCCTAAAATTTCTTAGCCAATGAAAGCCTGGACATTTCTCCTCTAGAAGTGCAGATCTATGCCTTTTCTTTATTACAGGTAGTCTTCAAATTATGACCGGTGGTTTAATGACCTTTTGAAGTTAGGATGGGCCCCCCAAGGGCTAAGTACAACTCAGGTTCGAGGTTATGATGGCTGCTCCCCCCCCCAAGGTCTCGTGATTGCATTTTGGGCCTGTATTCACATCCGTTTGCAGTGCCCCGCAGTCACATGACTATAATTTACCAGTTTTTGTTTTGTTTTGTTTTGTTTTTTGCTGGAAACCAATGCTCACATTGTTTCTGTTTTTTTTTAAAGAACACTAATTGAGGAAAATGGATTTGCTTTATGACCACCACATTCAGTTAATGACTGTGGCAAAAAAATGGTTGTAAGGTCATGTGATGCCTCAGCTTATAACCATCATGACTTACATCAGAAATCCCAGGCTTCATTACGGTCCTATATCGAGGATCAGCTGTATTCCTCATTCCCATTTGTGATTGGTTAACTAAGGAGAGTGTTTGTTAGATCATGATTTCTTTTTTACCCCCTTAGTATACCTGGTATACAAGCCGACATTAAACCCAGATGACTGTAAGCTGCTCTTGGCAGCCTCTGAGCATGGGAGACGCCCTTGCCCGCCTGACTGGATTGGGTACCAGATGAAATGTTTCTACTTCTCAGATAAAGAAGAAACCTGGTCTGCTAGTCAAGACTTTTGCTCTTTGCACAACTCCTCTCTGGCCATTATTGAAAAGGAAGAAATGGTAAGAGGTGAAAATACCCAACTGCGTTGTGGATGGTAGCAATTTCTGCAGTTCTATCAATAGTTTTTCATTTTGTGCAGGTCTGTGACCGTAGCGAAGATTGAAAAAAGGTTTGCATCGATTTTCGTTAAGAGATCATCTATGGCTTTATAATTTACGACCAGTGTCTCTAACCTATGTCTACTACAGGTAGACCTTATTTAATGATTGCCCTGTTTAGTGACCATTCAAAGTGTGTGTGCAGCAGCTGCCAAAAAAAGCCAACACAGTTCTAGGCTGCATAAATAGAGGGATAGAATCAAGATCACGTGAAGTGTTAATACTGCTTTATAATGCCTTGGTAAGGCCACACTTGGAATACTGCGTTCAGTTTTGGTCACCACAATGTAAAAAAGATGTGGAGACTCTAGAAAGAGTGCAGAGAAAGATGATTAGGGGACTGAAGACTAAAACATACGAAGAATGGTTGCAGGAACTGGGTATGTCT